AATTCCATTTTCGTGGCCGACTTAACAGGAGAGGAAACGAGACAGTTCCGTGGAACATTATTATTCCTAAAACCACGCGTTCTCTTCGTCAACGTACGACGCAGTATATGTACATCTGCACGCGTACGTTGCGAACGATCGAATTAACGTCGTATGCACGCATTGACTTTGATCCTTGGCAGTTTCGTAATGTATGTTCCCGTGGACCCCATCTGTAGCTGATACAGAACATTTTGTTTCCCTCTATTGCTCCGTTGCTCTTATTCTTTCCTTCCCTATTATCTTTCCTCGTCCCCACCCGGCTTCGACACCACGCCACTTTGCTTTTTCTGTTCCCCCTGCCCCTCCGACCATAATCCCCCCCTTCACATGTACACGCGCGTATACTCGTGCACGTGCAAACTCACTCATTCGGACGGCTCTTCTCGAGTACCATCTCTTTCTCGTCGACAATTCTTAGTTCCCATAATGAACCGTACGACGTGGTTCGTGGTTAAGAGTAAACGGACGTAGCAGTTTCCCCGTTCCATTAATGATAGCTTTAAAGAAACTTAACCTTTTCAAATTGCTCGACAAAACTATCTCCGAAATGCGTTTAATGTAACGTCATTTCTCTGCGAGTAATTTCTATTTTTAATAAAAATCTCTCCTTTGTATCTCTCCTCTGATTCTACGCTCTTCTTTGTCGTAATAGCCTGTTAATGATGCGATGCGATACCTAGAAAAATGTACATGACTCAAGTTACAAACTGCTACGAGTAATTTAATTTCGACTTTTCAGGCGAAACAATATTTTCAGCTCGTATTTCGATCCTATTGTGCGCCTTGTCATTATCAAAACGTGTTGATACGATTTGGGAGCACCATGAATCTAGATAATTATGGTTTATTCAAACTCTCGGAAAAACCAACGATTCTCTTTATTACGTCACGTAAATAACGTCAATACACACGTATATACGCGCGAACACGCGAGCCGTAATAAATATTATTACGAGCTGGAGATAAATTCCAACGTCTCCTTTTTATGATGCATCGATCTAATTAAAAGATAATATGATTTATTTCGGGCCCAGAAATGGACTAGGATAGTATAATACTGTTGCCACACACATACCAACCTTATAAATTCCGAACAATGATAACAAAATAATCACATTTCTATTTGTATATTTCCTTAAATTATGTCACTTCTAGTTTTTGGCCAAAAATAATAAGCGTATCCCTACTAACGTAATTTCGATCTAATTAAAAGTAGAGATAACTCTGATAAAATTAATGTATTCCGTTTTTAGTAAAATGTACGATGATTGTTCGAGGTGCTTACATTTACATGCTAATTTCCCGAAGGAGAAACAAATTATTGAAACGATAACAAAAGAAACGGTGTCACTTTCTTAAAATACAATGGAAATTTTTACTGTTATTTTTAAAACAAGTAAACTACATTTGTGTTAATCGTATTCTCTTTTACTGCCTAATCTTCGTTTCCCAACCTTTTGTCATCGTTATGTGATCCCTCGGCAGTTATTTCAACAACTGCAGTGAAATGAAACGATCATATTATCGCGTGTCTATAATATCCTATTGAACGAGACCATGTTGCTTCACATGTGAAACAAGATTTATTTCGTTATTATTCACATTCATCGTTTAAAAACAGCAATAAAATATTGATATTTTTGATAGCAGAGACCAACATCGAACAGTCGAGACCTCTTTCGTGAAATGATTTTCGTTCGAAGTTTGCAAGCACAGGCGAATCGAGACGAGTCTCTTTCGAGTGTCCTCGGATGGAACACTCATCACGAAACGAGAGATAGATTTCTTCAGGAAATCGATCTTCTCCCGTCCTCTACGTACGGCATAAAGAGAGTAAATTCAAATAAAAAGGACAGGGGCCGAAACCGGAAGAAATTAGTAGAGACAATTAAAGGGGACGACACTGTTGGTCGTTTCGAGTTTGGTATGTCCGAGGCGTGAGCGAAAAGCAACGCTGTCAACGAATCGATATCCGGATGGGCGTGGCCTTGTCGATCCTCGCGGATGCTATATAACGTGGAATCTGTCGATGCGACTGTTCTTGCTCGAATTTAGTCACCTAGAATTAAAATACTGTTCGAATACTGCCGGGAGACGAAATTTGTAGCACTCTTCTTTATTATCTTGCATCGTTCCCACGATACTCGCGTCGTTTTCCTTCGCTGGAGTCAATGCATCCGCATCATCCACTTCAATTTCAATTTTTCAAACGAATTTTGAGCCACGAAAGAGATTGAATGGCTCGATTGGAAAAAGCTCGATGATGGTAATACCGACCGCAAACGACAGTACACACTTGATCGAAAAAAAAAGTTAAAAGGTCTGGTTGAAAAATTTGATGATGGTCGTCGGTTCGGGGAGGCCTCGCCGAAGCGTCAGTGAAGCGATAGGAAGGGGCTAACAGTGCGCGCGAAGTGGAAAGAAGAAAGGAAAAACGAGATCTGGCACGGGGGACGGTGAAGGAAAAGGGAGCGTAGCACGTATAGTAGGTAGGAACGAGAGATAGGGGACAGTATGCGAGAAGAGTATTCGCAGCATGTGGTCTCGTCAACCCCCTTGCTCGATTCTCTTTTCACTCGCCTACTTCATCCCCCTTCGTACCCGTCCCTTCCCACCTTCCAGCCTACCTTCCGAACACCAATTTCGTATATACTTTCATTGCCGTTGCTCCAGTTCAATTTCTCCCCCAAGGTTCAAACTTGCTTCCAGCCTTGCCTACCCCCTTTGTAAATACTAATTGCTCTATACAAACGTTCGAAATGTACTTAACGTTTTCCTTTTATGCGCGCGATCCCAGCTATGTTTCACCTTTTTCTCTCGCCCTGCACTGCTGCGTTTCTGTTTTTCCTAATGGCCGATTTCTTCGTTCTCTCTGTTGTTTTTAATTACATTTTTCCCGCTCACTCTTTTTTGTCCGTATTCTCGCACGTCTCTTCGTATTCAATATTTTTCACCGTTCTTTGCCCTCCCGTAAACGTGTATTGTGTTATACATCGATAACTGGATGTTCTGATTGCGTGTCTTGTTTCAATTTGCGCGGACTTATTACACGTAAACTTTGCCCAGTCAAACGCTTCCGATCATGATACGTTCTCCTAACTTTATAGCCGATATTCGCTCACACGAGCTTTAAAGCATTATGTATCAAAAAACTGCTTTTACAAATGGATCTCCGATCCACTATTCGCAATAATCTGTTACTTAATTCGGTCCATCATACCAAACGACTGAACAAATCGATCTTCATAATAATTCTTTCTTTCTTATACGTAGACGGATTTCTCTTTCGCCCTCTTTCCGCGGTAGATTATTTCTTCCGCTCCGAGTGAATGCACATACATAACACGTACATACAAGAGCGCGTGTAGAGCGTGCACGTACGCCTGGGAGCGAATCAAAGATCTCAGCTCGCTTCTATTTACTATTCTTTCGTCGTTTTACTACTGCTTTTGCTGAGCGCTACCTTAAATGCCTGGTAGAGAGAATTCTTGAGAGGGCAAACAGAAATTCGATCGAACCGTTGCGTTTCGATGTCACGCATTTACTCGTACGACATCGCCTGATTACCAGAACAGTTGGACAATTGTCGCAACTAACGTAACTGTGAAAATCCTGAACAAAGCATCTTGCATGTGGAAGGAACTGCTTTCCGAAATCTGCATGTGAACATGGGTTGGTCTGGCGTATACAGAACGCTGGTCATGGTTTTGAGTGTAGATAGAAGATCGATATGACGCGACGCGGAAATGTCAATAGAACATCGATAAACTGGTCGATGCGACAGGTAAGGAAATCCGTAGATACGTTACTGAACGACTACCCTTCTAGCTGTACGGTAAGTTGCTAGGATACACCCTACGCTCAAACCCTCCCACGATTTGGCTATCGTTGCCTTATATTTCTCATCACGTTACTTCTACCAATCGTAAGTAAGAAAAACACCGCAAACCAGCTGAACAAGTCATAAAAATCGAATCATTAATATCTCAACCTCGAAAAAACATCTTAATCGATTATTTACGTGCATAACGTATTGAATAAGTTGCTTGTCGTGAAACTTATTTCTCGACGACAAACAGCTTTAGAAATAATTTTCGTTCAGCAACACACAAGCTCTAGTTAATTAGAATTTTCCATTACGACAAATAATCATTAATATTCTAGGAAGAGATGTAAATTACCTATTATATTTGCTCGCGTTGAGCAAAAAATCGCGATCGCTTTTATGCGATTGCAGTTAATGAGATTTTAGTAATGAAACGACACGCTTAATTGCTTTTGTTGAGTCGAAAGCATTCCACGCAGATACATTTGTTTTACGTATGTAATTTACGTGTTACAAACGCAGATTGTGTAAAAACAAACGTGCAGACTTCGTGGAGATCAAATTCATTCGCGAACGATGAGTAAGATCTTATCGGAGGGATTACGAGCGGAGAGAAAAAACTAAATAAACCTTACCGTTCCATTCCAAACACCGGAAGTCGTTCCAGGTTCTTCAGTAGTGACATCTCCCGTAATTGACGCCAAGTGATCTATTCGACATGCACCGGTTTATTCGGCAACCGGTACTAACCCCAAAAACGATACAAAATACACACCGCCGTACACCAAAATCAATCGTTTCACGTTCGCACTTTTAAAATAACGTCACACCTTCACACCATGCCACTGAAATTCCACGATAGTACATAATTTGAGTACAATTAGTCATAAATACACGTTAAAAACGATAACACGCGAACTAATCGTCTCTGCTTGTGCGTATACAATACTGCCGTAAACACGTTGTACTCAAATGAGTAACTATTAGATTCAAAATCTGATTTCCTCTTTCGACAGATCGAGGAGTCAATTAATCAACGAAATAATGTAAATCAATTATACGAAGGAAATGATTGTTCTTACGCTATTGCCGTGTAGAAGATTAAAGTCATCGTTTATCATATCGTGTATTGAAGTTGACTCGAGTATTTGAAATCCGGCAGTCACAGTTCGGCGCGCCATCACTGTCATGGCCTTTTCCTGTTCACGCTCGGTCCAAAGAAGACGTGAACGTAAGTTGTATGGTAAGACATTTTGATAGTCCGATGCATATATTCGGCGGTTGTGTCAAAAAGAGGTGATATTGAGTTATTGGAAACGTGCGGAGATACTCGCGGTGATTCGAAACGTACGAACGTTTAAATATTTACCAGTTGAAAGTGTTCCGATTGTACACGCGACCACATGGCCACATGTCTTTCCACGATTATTTTAATCTGTTTTGTATCAACAAAGTTGCGTCGTTCTATCAAAAATTTTCCGTTTTAATCGCGTTTGGCGCGACATAGCTTCATAAAAAGTCACCGACTTTACAATCTTCGACATCACGTGGTGTTTTAATTGTAAACTATGGTTTCGCGTATTTTCATTATCACTTTTCTTATTTTCTTTTAGTAAAACGGCGTATTAGTTAACGTTTCATGGATGTATGTACCATGTTTCATGTTCAAATCCAACGGGAACAGTAACCTTGAAGGGCTCGCGATTATTTTTATGTCGAATGATTGTTGTTTTTATTCAAGAATAATTTAGAACTTTACGTTACTTCTATCCATATAATTTATCGATATTCACACCCCATTTAGGATACAAATATCGATTATGGATAATAAGATTAAAGCATTAACTTTATATTTGTGTTCGTTTTCAGATCATGGCTGATATGGAAGTGTATGACGATATAGTGGTATCCACTACGGCGACTCTGCCAGTGGCACTCTCAGAGTTGCCAGAAATCAAATTATTTGGCCGATGGAATTGCGACGATGTCCAGGTGAATGACATGTCGTTGCAAGATTATATTGCAGTTAAAGAGAAGAATGCAAAATATCTGCCACATTCGGCTGGGCGTTATGCAGCTAAGCGATTCAGAAAAGCTCAATGCCCTATTGTCGAACGCTTAACAAATTCATTAATGATGCATGGCAGAAACAATGGAAAAAAATTAATGGCAGTGAGAATCGTAAAACACGCCTTTGAAATAATTCACTTGCTCACAGGCGACAATCCTCTTCAGGTAATTTACAGTTTTTACAGTTTTTACCTTCCTTCAACAAGTTCAGGAAAATACATTTTTATTTGTTACAGGTTCTCGTTACAGCTATTATTAATTCTGGACCCAGAGAAGATTCTACTCGTATTGGTCGCGCTGGTACTGTTCGAAGACAAGCAGTAGATGTCTCGCCCCTCAGACGGGTCAATCAAGCGATCTGGTTATTATGCACAGGTGCTAGGGAAGCAGCATTCCGTAACATTAAGACGATTGCTGAATGTTTAGCTGATGAACTTATCAATGCTGCCAAAGGTTCGTCGAATTCATACGCCATCAAAAAGAAAGATGAACTCGAACGTGTCGCTAAATCCAACCGATAAACATGTTCATCCTTAAAAACAAATAAATGATTTATCTTTAAAGCGACTGTCTATCTCTATTATCATTCCCTTTCATTATTATATATTATGATTTAGAACGGTACAAATTAATGTAATTGAATGCATGTTCCTGCAGAAAAATTTCTTATTATGAAGAAACAACATATGGTACATGAACATACATTTCACAAACATGAAAATATATATCAAAATACATTTAAACATACATAATTGTACTGTTGGTCTTTACGTTGGAATCCTAGTGATTATAGTCATCCCTGATTGTGGCTGGAATCATGATAAGCCCAATCATCTTCAAATGGTTGGAATCTGTAAAATATGAATAACAAAATTGCCTTCATGATAGTATAATTTATTGAAAGTTTCTCACAATAACGTGTACTTACCTAGAATGGTAAAGTGATGTTTTCTATTTACTTACACAATACTTGACATGTGTTGCGATGTCACTAGTGCCTCCTACCAATTCTGCAGGAACTAAACTGCTTCAACTCGCTCCAGTTCAGCTTAGGTTCGGTCGAATGGAAGGTTAATCGCATAATTGCTTTTTATTCCGAGGATCGTAGGTGTTGATCATGGCAGGAGCATTAAAAAAGGTAATCCGCATGATTCTGTAGAAAGCAGTTGTCATTCGATGAAATCTATCTGATTTTCAATCACTAAATCGTACTATTGAAAACATAACCATTCTTAAATGATTACGTCTCGTCGTGTTCTGTCCAAACAACAATTCCTGTTTATTCGCAGACGACAGGACTGACAGGTCTCGCTGTGTCGAAGCATCCGCACACTGAACTTCGCTTAATATACGATCGACTTCTGCGGCTCGCGAGTCACTTACCAGCTGACTACACCTACAGGAAATCTGTCGAGAATCTAGTAAAGGAAAGATCCGAGATTCTGCAGCAGGTAATTTTTTTCCTTCGTGTAAAATTAAAGTATCGAAGTACAATTCGCGAGACATAAATGCTACATAATTTACGTAAAAGACATAAGTAAGAAATGATCGATCAAGTTGCAAATCGAGGTGACACAATTTAACGTTACAGTCCCCGAACGTCGCTGACATAGAAGCGAAGATAGGTCAGGGACAAATTGAGGAGATTATAGTTCACGCGCAAAACGAGCTAGCCTTGATGAAGGACATCGTCGAGCAAAAACCGTGGGAGAACCTGATAGAGAAAGCTCCGCCGCACCAGTGGACCTGGCCAGCTCACCAATAATTTCGACCATTCACCGAACAGCCTGTACATAGTGCTAAAATAAGCGAATGTCTATCAATCAGTGTAATCGCAATCGTAGATTAAATCGCATACTCGCATCGTACGTTGTCGCTCTTACATAGTTCGCACCTGCTCATTTATCGTAACATTAGAAAATAAACGCGTACAGATGATTAATTTATTTTCAATCGGTTCAACGTCGAATATGACCGAGCGATTTCGAAAGATACGTCGACGAAAGCAAAGGAAAAGTTCGTCGTATCGTGCGGGAGCCGGGAAAGGACCGAGGAAGAAAGTCGGAAGCTGCGCGTTCTCCGAGGAACGTTCGCTGGCAGGCAAAAAAACGTGGCGAAACGTTCTAGGCGGGTACGTCTAGTCGAAGCGAAGAAAATATCACATCGCATACTCGAATGGAAGCTACGTTGAAAGGAATGCGGCGAGGAAAGAGGGCCGGGTGGAGGGGCAGGGGGAAGGATAACGCTATGCGTTACCCGGCTGCAAGGAAAAGCGGGAGCGGGAGGGATAGTAGGCAGGTAGGTAGATAGGTGAAGCATGAGAGCGATGGTAGGAGAACTGTTTTAAAACGAGCCTCGAGGGGTGGGGATCCGAGGGCCGCAGCCGCCACCGCTGCTCAGTTCCGATTTCGCGTCGCGCTCGAGAAACGCGCGAGTCGCACTCTCTTTCAAGTCGTCTTACCATCTCGACGCATTCTACACTTGTACGATTTCATTCTTTGTCCTCTCCTTCCTCTTTTTCCTCTTTCTTCCCTTCTATCTTCCTCCCATCCTCCCTTTTGCTCTCTGTCACGATTTTTCCCTCCTCTCAGTCGCCGCTTTTCCCCGCTCCGTCCTAATCTCTCGGTTTTATCCTCGTTCTCATTGTTCCCGGCGCCCTGCCTACTTGTTTCTCATTCAGTTCCACGCTCAGGTTTTCGTACGTTTCCTTAACGGTTCGCTATCGCACCGTTGAATCTCGCGCACGGTGAACGAGCATTCGCTTATCGGAGTCACGAACAGAGCGTACATACGAATTCGCAATAAACGTGGTGGCGGCGATTTCGTAATCGAATCGGAGATTCGATTTTTAATATGTGAATACACGCGTGTGCTCCGAGTGTGCGACGAGAGTGCAACGTCGAGGACGGTTCTCTCCCTCGTTACGGAAATACACATAAACGGCTCAGGTTTTACGCACCGCCCGCTGGCTATCCTGCATTGACAGTCCAATTAAGGCAAGTGTTTACTACGATCGTAATAAAAAACATCGAATAGAAGACGAGGAGACAAACGCTGAATTTCAAGTATTCCGTTCTCGTCACGCGTCGAATTAAATACCTGGAAGCTCGCGTCGAGAATCAGCAGTCACCTTTCAAATGAAATCCCGCGACGCGACGCGGCGAGAATTTTGAAACTTGAAACGCGGCGGGAGTTTCATACCAAAGACGAACGCGAGCACGCTTAGCAGGGACCAAGAACAATGGTCATAGAAGAAACCGCGTTCCCGTTCTCGAATACAATGCGAGCAATTTCGTCGGCTACGACGAAACGAAAGCGGCTGCGATTATTAGGATCGCTGGTCCCAGCGGCGAAAACGTCTCGCCGCGGGAAACCCGGAGCGAAATCTGTTCAACAATTCGTACGTTCGCCGGGTTCACGAGGCTGCGAATCGGGCGAACGGATCGGTCTCTGCTGCGAGAAACGCGAGATGCCGAGGGAGAATAGGCGAAATCGGAAGAAGGTTAACGCGCCGTGACGTTGCCCCGTTACGTGCTCCCCGCTCGATGCGCCTCGAACACGACCATCAGCTTTGTTTATACTCGAACCATACCATGCCGTTTTCTCTTATCTGTTCCCTTTCTTTTTGTCCAGCTCGAGAGCCGTTTCTTGCTCCTTAATTATATTCAATTAACGTGCCATCGTCGAGCAAAATTCCATTTGCGCTAGCGATAAGATCTAGATTTTCTCGGATTAACGCGAGTTCATCGACTGGCCAGCGTTTGTCGGTCGTTCCTCAATCGAAATTCAATCGCAGCGTGTAGAGACTGCCGTTTAGACGCGCTAGGAATCGTCGAGATTCAGCGAGAAAATCGCAGGACCGGTCCGCCTCGTTGCAACGTTTTACCGTTTGGTTTTCTTACCGGTTCACGGGTTCTGATGTGTCAACACGAAGGAATACAAGGCGAGTATTGTCGTCGCCGTTTCATCGAACATCGAATTGACAAACCGGAGAAATCTATATAAAACGCGTGGGACTTTTCAAATTGATTTTCGGCGCGTTTCGCTTACGCGCACGCGCGCGATCGCGTGTGCGCACGGCACGGTAGCATCGTTTTCAACGCGTTTCGCCCGCTAACGAAGTTTTCGCTCGCCGTTTTCCAATTAATGAGACATTGTCCCACGAGTCGCGGCCGTTTTTCCTGTTCGCTTCCCTGAGAACGCGGTTAACGTTTCGCGCAGAGGACCGTCGGAATTCGCGTCCTTTCTTTTCTCTAGCGACGCCTCCCCAATACAGGATGATTATGACTTCTTTCGTTTCGTTTCGCTTCGGTTCCGTTTCGTTTCCACTGGACGCGAGGATTTCACGCCGCCTTTTCTCACCGGAGTCGTTACCACCGGCGTCGTTTTTCTACGAACCTCAGGAAATCCACGGAACCAGAGAATCTCGTTTTAATTTAGACCGAAACTTTTATTCACGGTATTTGTACATCCGCCGCAGGATACTTCAATCAATATGCCTGTTGTTTTATTTTAATCTATATAATCTTAGGTACTCGCCTCTATTTTTTAAACAATTCTGTCCTGGTTATTTTTTATGAAAAATGAAACATTTACGATAGCCACTTAAAAAGATGCATTTCGGTTAAAGATTTACTTTATCATTTATTCACTGCAATTTCTCATATTTTGCATCGTTTTTGTGTTTTGTACACATTCGATTTTTTTGCATAATAAAAGTACTCTGTGGTAAGCGTTTCAAATACTTCGGTGAGTCACCGTAACTGAATTCGCTGAAGCGAGTCCATCGATAGGGAGTTTCTTTCGATTCCTTGGAGCGAAAATTTTTGACGATCCGCGTTTAGCGAAAACCGTAACTCAGCGGAGGTAGATACATAGGTATGCGTCGCGAAGTTCGGTCGTATCGTCCGTCTGATTTGTGCGAACAACTTTCACTTCTTGCTGGCTTTTACCGTTCGCCCTTCAGCGCCGAGGACGTTTCCGCGGAGCGCGGTCGGCCTGCGTGGTATTCCTCGCGAGCCGGTGAACGACGGGATCGTGTGCGTGGGTTTCGCATCGCGGCGACATCGTTTATTTTCATTAAAATCGAACGCGGGAGGTGTTGCCCGCCGAGGAGAGAAGCGCGGGATTACGAAACGCGCGCGCCCCGCGTTCGTGTACGTAAATGTGTACGCGCGCGGCCGCCGCGCAATGCGCGCAGGAAGTTTCGCAACGGACGCTTCTCGCGCCGGGAAAGAAAGAATCGCGCCGCGAGTATGGGCGCGCGTATGACCTGGATTTTCGGAGCGAGTTTCCCAGTAATGCGACGAGCTGTCGAGGTATCGTAAGGCGCGATAATGGAGAGAGTTGCTTCGAACGAGGTCGGCAATCAGAAATCGCCATCGCCGCAACGATGACAACGTCCGATCGGAGTTAAGATGAGAGAAACGTCATATAAGAAATTATTACTAGCATTCCCCGTTTCGGTTTCGACCGCAATAATTAGAATTCAAAATTTGTAGAATAGAAATATTTCAAGTCGTCACTTGATGGAATATAGTGAATGTCATAATTTCTACTTAATGGCTTAATTTTCTGTAATTTTAAATGATAAAATGATCCAGAGTTTGTATTTTATTCTTCTGGACTTATGACCTGTTACAAGTCTCAGGATATAAAGAGTTTATAATATATAATAATATATAATGTATAACAATAATACATAAACTGTTCATTATTAATCTGAAAGTTATAGAAAAATATGGCAATGAGTAGAAATCGTGAACAGAAATTAGGATACTTACTATATTTTATAGCAAAAAGCTGTTGGATATCTCATCGTGTTAAAGAAATATTGAAAGAAAGGTGAAAACCCATTTTCACTCTTTTTCAACCTCGTAATTACTCCTAGTAACGTTGTGCACTATGAAACTAAATATATGACAGTCCGGAATATATAAAAGAGCTACTGCCGAAACATTGTAAATACATAAGTAATTTCTCAGATTTTTGCTTACACACAAACAAACGCTTTCTCTTTATATAATAGTAAGATTAGAGTGCGGATTTGAAGTATTCATAAGAAAATACTGTGTGTAGAAATTATAAATGTTGCGTGTAAATTTTGCATGAAGATCCTCAATAATTACTGCCGTTTTACACGCAACCTTCATTTTATCGTGCACAGTATTTAATAAAATGGATCGACTCACGGGCGGAATACTATAATTTTACCGTGAATACTATGTAACAAAAAGAATGGTGCAAGTAGATGATGCATACAATTTTTCGAACGGTAGATCAGGTTCGAACGCTATGATTTTCGCTTAGCTAGATAGATAGGAAACGTGCGCGGCACGAGAAAGGAGATACGTCGAGAAAGGTGGTGATTCGAGAGGGTGATCGAAGGGGGCACGTTGAACGAGCACCAGGTCTACTGTTTCTCGTCCGATTATACCGGACTCGAGCGTCTATATCTCGTTCCCTTCGCGTCCAAACTTCCGCGCTCTCTTCCATTCTCACATCGGACCTTTCCCTCCGACGCCACCTCTTTCTCTGGCCAACGCTCGTTCACGACCATCGCCACCACCACCACCACCACCACCACCGTAAATCGCACACTCATACAAGGCGACACGTACGCGCGCACGTCGTTTCGTCCCTTCTCTTTTCTCCACCTTTCGCTCAATCGCTTCGCGAACCTTGCTACGTAGCTTTCCTTCCGCATACCGAAATTCCTGGGAAACGATGCTCGGTAATTTTCAGCGATGCGTCTTCTAATCTCGTTTGCATTCTTTCCAGAGCGGGTTAATTCGCTTCCTTTTTCGTTTCGACCCTCTTCGCTCGCTCGCTCGCTCGCTCGCTGGCTGGCCAACGAACACTTGAGAAT